TTTATGAGTGATCTAAAATGAAAATTTTGAAAAATAGCTTTTGAAGTTTTTCAAATTTTATTAAAATTCCGAAATTCATCTTCAAGTGATAATCGAAAATTTCATGGCCAAACACTAATTTCGCAAAAAAGTATAAAAAAATCGAAAAAGAAGTATCTTTTTTTTTGTGGCCAAACAGGACTAAAGAGGACCAATATAAGAACATGGACCACGAGAAACGTATACAACAAAGAACAGGAGAAAGATGTCACAGCGATGTACGTATGGTGTATATCTAATGAACTGTCGCTAAAATTGAGATCTTATTCAAAGTGAATTTTTTAAAATATTTATAGTTTTCTAATTTATTTATATTATGAATGATCTGATCCGTAAGTACCATGATTGAAATTATATTTATCGTCTTTTCCTTAAAAAAAGTGAAAATAGAATTAACTTGATTAACCGCTATACACATTAATTTGGGAACTATTAGCCTAGTTAGATAATTCAAAGTGCTTACAAAAGAAAAAGAGAAAGTGTGTACAAGTATAGAAGTGTTTACATAAACTTTAGACTTTTCAAATATTAGGATGGAGACTGGAGAGAAGAAACTGGATGTTATATAGTATTGAAAATAACTTGAAGGAAATTATGTTTGAAGTCAAATTGGCATGGTTGGGTTATTTAAGAAAAATTGTATACTGATTAAATGTACTTTCCGATTAGGATTAGATCCTAAAAAAACAATTGAGTTCGAGTCAATTTTCATATAATATAATGTGTTACATTTTCTGCTAAGAACATGACCATAAATCACCATGTAATATACTCCCCCAGGCGGTTTTATTTGACAATATTTCCTAACTAGTTTGTTAAAAAAATGACAGAATATAAATAAAATGTGAAACCATAAATCGAAATCAAGTATTTTTGACCTTTTTTTTTTATTATTAAGTTCAACTAAGTTTATGTTTACATATCAGCCGATTAACAAATTCTATAGGTATAAAATTTTATGAATAAAAGAGAAGATGAAATAAAGATACTTCTAACTAGCTAATACCGAATTCTCACATGTCCCTTTTGTTATTACAACCTTTTTTTTTGATGTCCAAGATTAGAAGCTACGCAAATTTTCATTGGATCTCGATTGTTCTTAACAGCGATGACTATTCATTTAAATCTTTCTCATCTTGATCAAACGGCCTGGGAAGACCCACAAAGAAAGAAAGAGAACTCAAAGAGCAACTACAACCTAAGAGCGATAATAGGAGCGGATATATCGCTTTATGTTTCCGCTCTATCTGCCAAGGGAAATCCCGGTAAAGGGAACCCCGACCCCGAGAAGACTGTACTCATGTGCAACTAATTCAATATATATATTTTTTTAATGAGAAGCGTTTATAACAACACAAATAATATGACATTTTGAAAATAATAAGTTCCAAATTTTTTATAACCAGCAAATATTATCACACATTTAGGACCATATATTTCAAACTATTCATTTCTTTATTAAACTTTGATAATGCTGCATTAGAAATTAATCAGAAAGGAAAGTTATTTACACAATATCATCCAAGAAAAGAAATATACACTGGCCATATAAGAAATGTTTATATATTAAGAACACTTCAAGTTGAATTATTCTCATGATCAGGATCATAAGGGTCCATATTAAGATCAAAACCCTTATTTTCTTCAATACTTTTTCCCTTTACAATCCTCATTATTATCACCGATAAATTCGTCGGAACACTTTTGCTCGATGTCATACGTCATTTTCCGGCCACCACTGCCGCTAGCTCCGTCAACTTTACTACTGAAGTATTTAACGGCAACTTTTATCCTCCGTAATATAGCAAAGAACTCTTCCACTTCCTCTTCTGATATTGACTCCGTTTTCATCTCCTCTTTTGGCTTCTTCTTTGCAGTTTCTGAAACGTTAACGTCGTTATTCTCTGGTTTTCTTTTTTCTCCTTCGTCTTCCATTGACGTATTATGTCGAAGACTGACTATATAAAGGAAAGAGAAAACTTTAGATGCTTAACGGACCCCGTGAAGATAAGTGGTGACGGACGAATTCTTTTAGTGATGTAATGATATGACGAAAATTATTCTATCGATGACGTTTATGAATTTGGTGAAGGATAGTGAAGTGAATTTTTTTGTTTTTGTTTTGTGGTAAGTAGGCTGCGCATCCGTCGGATCGGATCGGATTTAGCATATTTCTGATTGTAAATTCGGATTGCAAATTATATAAAATGCAATCCGAATTATATTGGGTCGGATCGGATTTTAAAATTTGAATCGGGTAAATATTTTGAATTATCGAATTGGATTGTACGCCTTATTAAGGCTACTAACAATATTATCGACTATTGCACTTTTTAAGGCTATGGCTATTTACCCTTCGATTAAATTAAAAGGCAACAAATGTCTTTCATAGCAATAGACAAAACAAAAGTTTCATAGCAAAAGGTAAGACTTAAGAGAATCGCACTGAGCAACTTGAAGAGAGGATAGAGAGAAAGACTTCGATAAAAACTAAGAAAAGAAGAGTCTAAAGAGAGGTGAATGAAATGAGAAGACTAAACCCTAAAATATAAGTCTAATATTTATACATGCCTATATAATTCGAATTTCGGATCGGATTGGATTAAAATTATACCAATTCGAATCTGATTCGAATAACCAAACTTTTAAAAATATAATCCATATCCGATCCGAAATCCGATTAAAGTGGATCAGTTCAAATTCTCGGATATCCGATCCAAGTGCACAGCCCTACTGGACATAGAGCCCTAGGTGTGTAAGCTTCACTGCCCCAGATAGTGAAGTGAATATGAAAGCACTGTACTTTATATATGGAGAATTTTCAGTATTTATTTAAGGATGAAAATAATGAAGTAAATTGAAGGTGGATAAGTGGGTATGAAGTGGATGAAAATAGTGAAAGATTAAAATTTAAATAAGAGCTGAAACGAAAAATAATACTATCCCACATTTCCTTATGTGTTTAAATTTTGGTAGACAAAATTAGCTATCTGATACACGTGGTGTGGTGGTGGAACATTTTTAATAAATTACATAAAAGTATATTTCAACTACTTAATCTAAAACTTACATGTTTATACTGATTTGGATTACAAATGTCGTATCTAATTTAGTCCGTACGATCACCACTAATATATAAGGTAGGGATCAATGTCAAAGCTCTCGACACCGAAAGACACATGGTATGGAAAACGATTAAAAGAATTATTTAAATGCGTATATACTTGTATTGCATTTGTAGGAACATCAAATATTCCATGTTAATTTGTCCATTTTCATCAATATATTTTATTGATTTAGTTACCCATTACACAAGCCGACTCTCCAATCTTTTTTTAGTACTTGGCACCGTTAACGCTAAAAGTCTTTAGGGGCCACTGTTTGAACAAAATATTATGCTCTGTCGCATTAAATTAATGGATCAGCCTTTACATATAATGTATAAATTATGCATAAGTTAAACATCTACCAACTATTTTTAGTTTAAATGGTTGAGGAGCGGTTATTTGGTTAATTCTTCTTGACTAGACTTATATACCAAGATGGTTATACACAAAGCATAGCTCTGAAATCTCTTTTTTCGTTTTCAATGAAGGAAACATCCAAAGGACGAAAAATGTCTAAAAATAGCATAATTGAAAGCAACGGACAGCAATAAATGTCAAATTCTAAATCTAAGTGTCAAGAAAAAAAATTCTTCCTTTCTTTCTTTCTTTCGTTTTGACTGACTGAAATGGAGGAAGTGTGCATTTTGAGGGGTAAATTCTAAATTCACTTACGCGGTTAAACTAATATTTTCTTATGAACAATATTGAGAAATGATAACCATAAATTTACATTTTTACCATTAACTTGTGAAAACTGAAAAGTATTACCTTAACCGAAAAACTTAAGGTAAAGTTCTTTCTTACTAATTTCTTTTGTTCAAATATTAGATATTAGCGTCCAAAACTGATCTCTACTAAAATACATAGTGTGTATATATATATAATGTTCCAACCAAACACACCGTTAGTGGTCGTAAAACAGAGTCAGATCAATTGATCGTGTTACAACTGAACTTGTCGGGAAAAAAAAGGAATGATTAAAGTTGTACTAAGAACATGTTTAAAAGTTGAAAGTGACCGAAACATCATTAAAGTCTCAGAAAGAATATGAGCTCCATAGTGAAAAGAAAATAAAATAATAATTCTAGCCGAGTATTTTTGCTCTCCTTTAAAATATGCTTATCTTAGCCTTTATTCTAATTACTTCATTCTATATGTCACAAACTTGCAAAATGCTTCGCAAGCTTTTTTCATTCAGATTTTTGTTTTGGGGAAATTACACATTTTGTTGCTCGACTAAAAATATTAACAACACCTATATATATATAGAAAATATATATATATATATATATATATATATATAGAGAGAAAAAATATTTCATTGAAAATGTGTGGTTTTATTACTTTACATATGAGCAGTCGACAAAAGCAAATCGGATTGGAGAAAGAGATCCAATTAAACTATGGGATTCCATCCCCCATTAGAAATTAACTTAAATAGTCGATTACCCAAGCGCTTAAACATAAAATAGCCAAAGGATGTATAATATACGTATAATTTATATATATATATATATATATATATATATATATATATTGTATAATATTTGTATACTTGCTACAGAAAATAAACAGTATATTTGACTGGCTATTTATGTAAAGATCCCTTGCATTAAGCCTATAGACTCGGCCAAATATGCGAACCTTAACCCAATTAGCCAACTAGTAGCATGCAACCTTAACTGGGATTTCACATAAAGTAGCTCTAAATTAATCTGTAAAAATATATTTTTAATTAATATACAAATAAATAGAAGATTAAATAATGTATATTTTCTTATAACAAGAAATAAGTCATGCTCTGCCCTTAAGTTGCTTTTAATAGAGAAAAAGAAGAATTAACCCAAATAGCCACTCACACAATCACTTAAACTAACAATAGCCGATGACGATATAATATATATACATAATTTATGTATTATATATGTATGATTATGTATAATCAGTGTATAATAGATGTATATGATTAAAAAAGAGCAAAAAAACATAAGTAGACAGTATTTAAGAAAATTTAGCAGAATCATGGCAGTAATAAGTAATTAACAAAATGGCATCTAAGTAATTAACAAAAGTAGCACATAATTAATGTCAATCCTTAAAAGAACCGTAACGTTTTTTTTTTGCTTATTTGTAGGAACTAATTATCTTTTCCAGTTGTTTTTGTCTATTTGTAGGAATTTCTCTTTTAAAAATATCTTTTCTTTCTTCTATTTAGACTCTCTTATTTTCCATAACAGAAATTATACATATTCATTCAAGATTATAGGAGTCAAGTTACTAACATACTAACTCTCCTATTTTCTGACCTTTTATCTTTCTTTAATTTGTTTTTAGGTTAA